CCGCTTTGAACGGTATTCCAGTCATATCACGGCGTGTCAGCTTACTGTGGGAGGATTGGCATAGATGTAAACAACGGCAGTTCAAGCTTGTGGTCAAAGGTTAGTTGGGGTCATACATTTGTTCATAGTTACATGTCCCCTTGATGTTCCATTCAGTTCAGTTATAATTCAGTTCTTGATCATGCCTGGTGTTCTAAAATTTCAAGTGTTAGGAACAGAAAAGATCATCCATCTGAACATGTCCAAGCAGCATGATAAGGGTTTACGTAACTTCAAATTATGACATTCATTTGGGCCAAAAAGAGCCCATATTATTCCCCCGTTATATATTTGCATAAAGGTGAGGAATGTTTTAATATTTCACTGATATAACACAGACATACAGAGTGGCATGGTGACATTTCCAATCATAGACTCTTGAAATTCACCACCTCCCGGAACAACAGCTGTCAGTACAGAACAGGATATGTAGGTGGTAGGCAATCTGCTGGGGTGTGAGTGACAGCTATCTACATACGCAGTGATAGATAGTCTGTAGCTCTGTGTCAGAGCATCAGGGACAGTACACGAACATCAGCAATGTGAGTATTGTTTCTATGTTTGTTTTGTTTGTTCGTTTGTTGTTTAACGCCGCACTCAGCAATATCCCAGCTATATGACGGCGGTCTGTAAATAATCGAGACTGGACTAGACAATCCAGTGATTGACATCATGAGCATCGATCAACGCAATCGGGATCATTGACATGCATCAACCAAGTCTGGGAGCCTGACCACCCGATCCCGTTTGTCGCCTCTTACGACAAGCATAGTCGCCTTTTACGGCAAGCATGGGTTGCAGAAGACCTATTCTACTCCGGATCACGGGTCGAGTACTATTTCTTAGTATGATTAATGTTTAAATACAAATGGACACCGTGTATTCGAATGTCTTCACAATCCGGAGTCTACTTCGATTACAGATAGGATTAGATATACAGATTATCAAACACCAAGTACAAGTTTAATACGCTTGTGCAGATTTGGGATTCTTGATTTTGAAAGCTACAGTTCCAAAACCAAACATGTTTTTAAATAAAACTATTAGCCTGAATACGATTTTAAATGAAAACAACATTTCAACAATGCAATATTTGTGGCAGACAGTTTGTTTCATTTAACAGTCTGAAGCATTTTTTTCAAAACGTTTCTGGGACAAATATCTTTTCGATAAAGTCCCTACTATTGTTAAAGCTATTTTCATCTTCCACTATTGTTAAAATCTTTGTTTCACACGAAGCACAGCTTGTTGATAAGCACGGCCGAATTACGAGGGAAATTGACGTGCCTTGTACGTATATAGTTTCTAAAGTTTTTTTAATGATAATGTATAAGTTTCAAAACAATATGGTTATGAATTATTAATAGCCATCAAACCTATAGGGTGTTTTCGGATTATTAGAAAAGTTGTTGAAAGAAAATGACGTATTCCAGTTGTTTAAGAGGGCCGCAATATATTTCTTTTGACAATCTTATATTTAAGTTTATGCAACGACGAACGGCAATCGATTGCTCAGGGATCATCCATTCAGCCGCATTGTTGTTTTCATTCAGCAATATTCCACCTATATCACTACAGTCTGTAAGTAAGTGAACTTGGACCAGCCAGACCATGACACTCACATGATCTTTAGGTCGCGTCTTTCGACCAGCATAGGTTCCGGCCCTCAACTTGGCGGTATTTGACAATCATACACATTCCCTGGCCTCAACTGGGCGGTATTTGACAATCATACAGATTCCCGGCCCTCAACTGGGCGGTATTTGACAATCACACATATTCCTTGGCCTCAACTGTGCGGCATTTGACAACTCATACACATTCCCAGGCCTTAACCGGGCGGTATATGACAATCATACAGATTCCTAGGCCTCAACTGGGCGGTATTTGACAATCACACATATTCCTTGGCCTCAACTGTGCGGCATTTGACAACTCATACACATTCCCAGGCCTTAACCGGGCGGTATATGACAATCATACAGATTCCCGGCCCTCAACTGGGCGGTATTTGACAATCACACATATTCCTTGGCCTCAACTGTGCGGCATTTGACAACTCATACACATTCCCAGGCCTTAACCGGGCGGTATATGACAATCATACAGATTCCCGGGCCTCAACCGGCTGGTATTTGACAGTCATACAGATTTTCGGCCCTCAACTGGGAGATATTTGACAATCATACAGATTCCCAGCCCTCAACTGGGCGGTATTTGGCAACTCATACACATTCCCAGGCCTTAACTGGGCGGTATTTGACAATCATACATATTTCCGGCCCTCAACTGGAAGGTATTTGACAATCACACAGATTCCCAGCCCTCAACTGGGCGGTATTTGACAAATCATACAGATTCCTTGGCCTCAACTGGGCGGTATTTGACAATCATACATATTCCCGGGCCTCAACTGGGCGGTATATGACAAATACAGATTTCATGGGCCTCAACTGGGCGGTATTTGACAAATCATACAGATTCCCGGGCCTCAACTGGGCGGTATGTGACAATCATACAGATTTCCAGGCCTCAACTGGTCGGTATATGACAAAACATACAGATTTCCGGCCCTCAACTGGGCGGTATTTGACAATCATACAGATTCCTAGGCCTCAACTTTGCGGTATTTGACAATCATACAGATTACTTGGCCTCAACTGGGCGGTATTTGACAATCGTACAGATTCCTTGGCCTCAACTGGGCGGTATATGACAACTCATACAGATTCCCAGGCCTCAACTGGGCGGTATTTAACAACTCATACAGATTCCCAGGCCTCAACTGGCTGGGTAGTATTTGACAAATCATACAGATTCCCGGGCCTCAACTGGGCGGTATTTGACAAATCAGACAGATTTCCGGGTCTCAACTGGGCGGTATTTAACAACTCATACAGATTCCCAGGCCTCAACTGGCTGGGTAGTATTTGACAACTCATACAGATTCCCAAATGACGCAACAACAAAAAACTCGATTCTTGTTTAATTTTCTTATCAAGACTAAACTACACTCTATCCTTTCGATAAAGGCAATTTCCTTTTTTGTTTTTATATATTTCAGCCTGAAGTGTCGTCTTCAGATAGTTTCAATACAGGTATGACCCAGTGTAACATTTGCCAAATAAATCAGCGTATGTTATTGTAGTCCTCGTGGCATTCATTATAAATACACATTACAAAATGTAGGGATTGAGTTGAGTTTAACGCTGTGTTGAAAAGTATTTCAGTCATAAAATAGCTTGTTGGCTTATTGGAGGAGATCAGGAGAGGTGCAGTGGAGTACATCGTCGAGTTCCTGATGTTTACAAAAATACACTGATATAACAACGTGGACGTATGTGCGTGTGTCTGGCTGTTTGTACTGGTCCGGACTTAAGGCGGTATTATAGTGCAAGGCCACGGAGATACCATGCCGCATTTCAAGAAGACACCGCACACAGACACATCATCTTATTGCCGAGCACCAGGCAGGGTAACAACAAGTAGCACCTTTTAACGTCCTCTTCGAATGACACGGCCAGGGCATCGAAACACTGACCTTCAGCTCTCCCGGCAGACGCTTTATCCGCTACACCATGAAGGACAATACTCCTCGGTAGAAACGTAAGGCATCACAGTAGAGTTCAAAGAGCGTTATACTTCACTTGCTTGTTGTTTGATCAGGGTAACAACATTCTTGACCTCAGTAAAGTTTTCAAAAAGTTGTATGGTAGACATGTGGAGAATATTTCCAAATTTCACGCGTCAGTGACAAAAATGATGCTAAAAGTCAATTCCCTTTTTTTATTTGTACAGCATGTTTCCGGTTTTTTCTCGTGTGTCATCGGTGGAGCAAGATACGCTTTTCGCGAACACCCCGTGTCATCACTATTTCAGTCATGATTCCTAAACTCACAGACAGAACATAGTCGCAATCATATCATAGACTTAGCTTTCAGCAGAGAATTCTTTTATGAATATGGAAAGAGTTAAGTCGCATCTCTTTGTTCTAACAGCCGTATGATGACGAAAGGCACAACGGTGGACTCATGTGGGGAATCGAACCCTGTGTCACAAAACAACGCTTCGATCACTGTGTACGTACGAAAAAGGCCATACACGTTTCCATTCTCGCATGTGTTAGCCAAACAGCACATCGATACAAACAAAGCTTGTCATTACATAGTCACGTCCATAGTCATTTCGCTAACAATGTACCGACCAATGTTTATATAAGGCTACGGTTCCTATTAGTTTCTTATCTTTATTTGGTTTTTTTTGTGTAGAAACTTTCATGAATGAATTGTTGCATATATTAAAGGATACATGTATTTAATATTGGAATTCAGTCACGGATGATTTATCAAAACTTAGGTATTGCAGAACTTATAAACAATTGTTTGAACCCGAGCGTTACCTACAATCTGAAACTGTTAAACGCTATCGTCATATTACACTACATTTTAAATGGCATTTGGGATGGCAAAGAAATGACAGAATCTGTAAATTATGAAATAATGGTGAATAGAAGATGATTTTCACGTTTTGCTCATATGTGTTAGACTGTTATCTATCAGTGTAGAGTGCATTGTTACAACCCTTAATGTAAAAATTACTCTCAATGTAAAAAAAATACAAAATAACTTTGGAAAAACTTTTTGGAAATGTGTTCAATTCTGAACATACATATTGTGAATGGAAGATTTGGAACTGACTATCAAATCGGTCACTGTACATTTATTGGGCATTTATTGAGTGAATGAGTGAGTTGGGTTTAAACAGTATTCCAGTTTTATCGCGGCGTTTCAGCTTAATGTGGGAGGAAAGCCCAATATATAGTCACACTGGTCTCCTTTATTTCTAGTTCAGGTTGGTAAATCAGTGGAAAGAATATTGCTATTTGATGGTTATTGAACTTCTTTAATCAGAAATTCCGATTCATTTGCATAAATAAACATATCCGACATGAAGTAAGAAAGACACACATCAAACTTTTTATTGATGAAATTGCCAAGTAATGTGAAAACAATGTGCATGTGCATCATTAATCGTCCAGTGCGTCCACTGCAACAAAAGAGGTTAATGTTTGTTAAACACCCTTAGACGGTTTCATAATTATGTAACGATTTATTTGCGTTAATATGAACAAAATATCCTTTGATTTGATTTACTGGAGGGAAGATGTTTATGTACTTAACTACCTGATGAGATGATGAGTGCATTCTTTAAACCGCCGAATATTTTCTTGAAAGCATTCAGGACTGTGACTGACTGGCATGTAGTTAGTCTGGAGATTGGCAACGACTACTTTCTAATTTATTTTCTAATTTTTAAAGTTCAAACATAAACATATAAGTCAAAAACATATACAAATACAATTCTGGTGTAGATTTACTTGTTTCATAATGTTGGTGTTCTTTTCAAATATCATGGTCAAATTGACGTCCATTTTTAATTCCAATTAGCGATGGACTACATGTAGTTGGTCTGGAGATTGGCAACGTTCACTTTCTAATTTATTTTCTAATTTTTAATGTTCAAAAACATATACAAATACAATTCTGGGGTAGATTTACTTGTTTCATAATGTTAGTGTTCTTTTCACATATCATGGTCAAATTGACGTCCATTTTTAATTCCAATTAGCGATGGACTACATGTAGTTGGTCTGGAGATTGGCAACGTTCACTTTCTAATTTATTTTTTTAATTTTTAAAGTTCAAAAACATATACAAATACAATTCTGGTGTAGATTTACTTGTTTCATAATGTTAGTGTTCTTTTCACATATCATGGTCAAATTGACGTCCATTTTAAATTCCAATTAGCGATGGACTACAGAAAATTAAGGGTAGGCCATTGCAAATCTGCCATTATATTTTCACTCGAATATCGAAAACGCATTAGTTTTTATTAGTTTTCTACAATAAAATATGCATAAATACTATTTTATTTTTGTTAGCGTTATCAAAATCAGTTATCATTTTCCTACAACTGCTGGTATAACTACAAGGCTGCAGTCAGTACAATTAACCTCGTCATAACTAAGTAATCCTTGCACTCCAACTTTTTAACGACTAGAACTGACTGCAGTGAGACTGGGAAAGAAAGTTCTTATGACAAAGGAAGGTTGACAATGTCCAACTACCAAAGGTGATGTAGGTATTACTCGTGGTTACAAACATGTATTGCGTCGCCTGTGTCTACCAAATTCCTTGTGGATTAATTTTATCAGACTGAGTGAGTGAGTTGTCTACTCCAGTACTCAAGTTGTACAACGGCGTGTCAGCTTAATGTGGGAGGAAAACCCAAAGTGATGCAGGTCTTAGACGTTTAGAAACCTAGAGTACGGTATGGTGCTGACAAACCTAGAAACATAACCGGGGAGAACCGGGATTCGAACCCACAATCATAGATTTCTGGCGTGCCCAAAGGACGCAACTCTCCACAGCTCCTTAGACGACTGGGCCCCCATTTTATTAGATGAGTAGATTACTTACTTTGATCCATTAGATCTCGAGCCTCACGCTGGATGTTGCTCAATTCGGCCTTGTCTGCGTCTGTGGAAATCAAGTTGATGACGTAAAAGTATGTTGAATTTTTCAAGCATATTAATACCACAAGAGACAAAATCCTATCCATAATGATGAGTATATTTCACGATTCCAACATGAGCATGTGTTAATGAATCACTATCAAATAGTAATGATGCCAGGTGCTCGCGAAAAGGTGAGCGTATCCTGCCCCAGTGATCGCCTCCGACACAAACGCATGCAAAGGCAAGTCAGTTGTTCACCTACAAAAACATGATTACATTTGGTATTTGGTACAAGTCACGATAGGGAAATGCATCGGACTGATAAGTCAAATTCGGAAATGTCTCCGGATGTCTATTGGAAATCATTCTAAAAGCTTTAAGAAGGCCTTGAATGTTGTCAACCTTTGGACAAGAGGAGTATGATGCTCCTTTAAATCATCGTAGGAGAAGCGTGCCCCATTGTACTGTTATACAGTCTTTTAGGCAGTTATCTGTGTAACTCTGAATAATTTTGATCTGCTATATATTAAACAGATGAGGCAGTTTCACGTATCACCTGTATTTCTAGCACAAGTGGGTAAATCAGTCCAAGGGAATTGGTTATTTGACCATTATTGATCGTTATCAGATCATCTGAAGTTTAAGTTAAACTTCTTGGCCATAAATCCATTGTTTTGAGTTTGCCAATCCAAAAAGACATTCTGACTTGTTTACATACAGAAACAAATCAGCAAGGAGGGGAGGGGAATTGGTGCCCTACTTCTTGCCTAAATGCCCTATTTTTCTCTATAAACGTCAGATAACCCTATTTGTCTCAATAAACGTCAGATAACCCTATTTTTTCTCTATAAACGTCAGATAACATTTGCTTTCCTGTATATCTTTATACGGGTTTTTGTAATTGTTTTACTGGTTTGTTAAATAATGTTTGTAGTGGCTTGTTAAATAACGACTTATAACACAATTATAGCTTGTCTGATATTAAAAAATGGAAACGTACATTACAGACTTATTATTGGACATAACTTTTCCGAGTCCCATGATGGAATTTGAACCACGGACCTTCTGATTCCGGGTCGGGCACCTTGTCCACAGGACCACAGAGGTTACACCCGTCATCAAGGATGGCATCTGTAGGATGACGCCGGTTTTGATTTTAAAAAGAGAAAGACTAAACTTGGTATCTTACCACTGAGTTGGTCAACTTCAACCAGTTCATTGATATCTCTGGTGGCCAACGTCTCTATCATTTCCTCCTCCGTCAGGTCTTCATGTAGAGCGCGTATCGCTCGAGCTGAAATATGAACATCAACAATAATTATAGAAGAAGTGAGTGAATTGGATTTAATGCCGCTTTGGAAAGTAATAAAGTTATGTCAACCCGCGTAGTGTGAGGAAGCGTTTGTTGTATAGGGTTACCACGAATTCAGACGCTAGACGGCGTGGCAATACGTGGTAATACATGTTTAAATAATGACAAGGTATATCTGTGTACCATCCTAGTTTTCCAAAGAAAAGGGAAATTCGGGCGTTATAGTGGACATGTAAACATTTGAAGCTTGTTAGTGATTTGGGTTTTATGGCCACTTTTATATGTATATTAATCGTATCCCTGTAATCAGATTTCACCTAAGTAGAATCAAGTAAGCTGAGATGGTACACACTTGAAAACTAAAAAGAAGGTGAACCGCGATGGCATACCATGGATGATAGAATATAAGATTCGAACTCAAAACCAATGGGTATAAGTAACAATTTGGGAACAGATCAGGTCTGTCACATTCTATTTCAGCTGAAATGAGCGTTTGCAGTAAACGTTGATGTATTTCTTCAAAGTTAAGACAACATTTCCTTTGTCCTTCGTCTAGGGAACTACCTGCTAACATACAGGGTCCATAGAATCTTCAGACGTACCAATTAAATGTATGACTTATAAAGAGAGTGTGTTCAGCCGAATTCATCATATTCCAGCAATATTAAGTCATGTAGCTACCAGAATGGACCTACAAAATGTACCCATGCGGGTCGTCGAACCAGCGTCATGAGCAAACGGTTTATCCTCCTAGGAGAGACTATACCAACGGGAATGGAGAACTAGATATACCTCACACTGAAAGCAAACATAAACCTTTCATTTTACAACACCCATGCCTTCAAAAAACACCGATTTGAATGATTAATTTCAGTTGGGATGGCGACAAAGAGATACTAGTGACTGTCGGCCTGTTAGATATTGTAATGGAAAGGTTTCTGTCAATAACTCAAGGAGGTTAGTTTTCTTTGTTCGTGTCATGTGGCTCCGTCGCTGAAATGTAACAACCCGCCTACCGTTTTTGTTTCTCCAGATGTTGAACTTGTTTACAACTCCAGAACCTTTTTGTGCGACTCTTCTAAACCATCCCCACGCGCTGGTTTCTGCAGGAAGGGCGGCCAAGACAACAAACATCAGCAGCAGAGCAACAGCCTTCATCTGCAACAAATTATTTCAAAATATGTACCGACTATGACCCAGGAAGAAGTACTTTTCTATGTGTATTAGCTACCGTGGTGAATCAATCAGAGATGGTTATTACCAGTCACAATATCATATTTTCTAATCATTGTGAAATAGGCATTGGTTCTCAATCTTTGATTCGAGCGATTATATCCAAATTTTCGTGGTATATTACATTTACTAATTGATTTGAAAATTGATGTTTGAAATTTGTAAAAACCGTATTGTTTTCCAAATTGGAAACACAATAAACAGGAACACAGACGCAAATTTCAAACTAGATTCCAGTCAATAAGGTTTACCTTACCTTATCTTTTTACATACCTAAATACGAGACATATCATAATGTCGGAGTGGACAGCTTTTTCCAATGAATGGAAATGACAGTGAATGCGTAAGGCCTCTATCGTGGATACTGACAATCATATACATTTAAATTATAATGATAGCGCTATTTTTCAGGGCATTATCATTTGCAGAGGCCCGCTGTTTTCCATTTTATCTGCCCGACGAAGAGTAATGCCCCAAAGATAGCGTTACCGTTATCATACCTAAATTGGATGGAATTTGTTATCAAATAAACATAAGCAACAATATCGGTTTTGAAACATTTACTGCAATCAACACACAACGAATGTCACTGACCCGCTTTTAAAATTACGGAAACGTCATAGAACAAACCAGATGACGTCACAATTGAACATCAATATGACCTCATCTAACAACGGGCGTGTTAATGGCCTGTCGTCAAGCAATATGAGGGCGTTATGAAGTTACAGTGGCCCGCTCTTTGCTGGTAACATTCGAGCGGTTTAATGATAATTCTATCCATTTTAGCTATAATCCTTGTTAAAACCAAAGGAAATGGACCGTTTCGAGTTTGCCTGACGCCAGAATGACGCCTGCATATTTTCGGTTGGTTGAAGAAGATAACAAAAACAGGAATGACTGTCACTGTAATTCAATAACAGGAAAGTTTACTTCTAGTTTAGTTTCATTTACACCAAATAACGTGTCGAATACCTTATGCATATAAGAGTGAGTGAGTGAATTTGGGTTGAACGCCAGTTTGAATAGTATTCCATTGATATCATGTTATATGTATGCGGGAGAAAAGCCCAAAGTCAGACGTTTACCACTTCGGTGAAGCCCACGAGCATGAGTATGGTGATGACAAACCTAGAAACAAATCGGGGCAAACCGGGTTTCGAACCAACTGTCATGACCAACGGCTTTTGGCGTATCCAAGGGGCGCAACTCTGGACAGCAATTTGCGGTGCCTTAGACGACCGATATATAAAAGAGGCGAAATCTGCATAGCTCCCCGAATGTCTAAACGGATGCTTTTTTGTGAAGGATATGCACTGAGACTGTTATTTCTCACGCTACCACCATATCCCATAGCTCATTCACAGCTTCCTGGAGAATATGCGATATCCCATAGCTCCATACAATTTAAGAGAATAATAATGAGAACTGTTTGAAAACAAATCAAATTTGCTATTGCGATTCAGTCAGAACCATCAATAAACGTTGGCCAATGGTTATACATGTACTGCTCTACAATGGATACCTGCACATTACACACTGCGGTCATGGTCCTTCTGACGTCATCTTTATATTAACGTATTTAATAAAACAAATTGTAAAAAGTAAAATAACCGAGTCATTTAATTACGGATTGCATATGAAAGAGCCAACATACCTTGCTCGGGTGAATTGATGACTGTCCCAGAAATGAACTGATTTCTGAAATGTTATGCCTTCTATAAATTCATGCAGGGTGAGAAGACCCCCATGCAGCCATCGTTATTACATCTGGCCAGTGGAACATATGTTTAAACACCATAACCCGAAACATAAAGAAGAACTTAACACGTTCTGCTGCCAAAGGGCATTTCAGACACGGTCATGTTAAATCCGATGTAGTGCTTGTAATAAGGTGTCTATGCCACAAGCAGTGTACATGCATAGTTGCATTAATCAGAGCTATTAGAGAAATCGGTCAGAAAGTTAACCATGAGCTATCCAATCAAACACAAGGTCAACGAGTATGCATCACTTTGTTCAATGTTCTGGTCATAGAGTAACACGAGCCGTTACTTCAACTGTTCAGGAGCCTGGTTTAATAATTTGCTCGTCAGGCCGAATGCCCGGGTTCGCAATATTACTGAAATATTGCTAAATGTAGCGTAAAGCCATATTCACTCAATGGAGTTGATCCTCAATCATATAAAGTTGAACGAGGCGATTTGATGGATCTGGTGGTCAAGCTCGTTGACTTAGATGATGGCATGTTAATGAACTCTGATTTGCCTAACCCTAACCCTAACCCTAACCCTAACCCTAACCAACATAATAACCATAACTGATTTGCCTGCTCTTCGAATATTCATTTAATTCGCAGGAATAATGCGGCGTTAAATAATTCAATTAGTCTATTTGATTTAGTAAGTTTCGAATACCGCCTTCTCATACAGTGTTTCACGCGTCAGTTTATCACGGGCCTATTACTTGTGTGACAAAATGACAAAGTATGGTTGAACAGCCAAAAGGAAACGACCCACACATATAATATGAACATGTAAGTATAGTTTCATTTAACCTGATTGTATTTACAAAAGCTTGGATCGTACAACTGAGCATATCCCCATGTTATTATGGTCCTGTAATGTTTAACGTTCTTTGGCGTAAAAGCTGTCAGAAATGTAACAATGACACAGCCTGCCAGCCACGAACAGTTTCCCAAAATACATGTGGGCAAGCTATCAGACAACCTCACTGCCAACAGTATTTTTGTCTACAAGACAGAAACGTTTATTAATAATACGCTCGCTCGCAAAGGCAATAACAAGTAAAATGGAACCTCATTAATCCAAACGGTATCGGTTTTCAGACAATTTCTCCGGATGAACAAATATCCGGTTTAATGAATCGTAGTTAAAGCAACAAGACACTTAGAAGTGGTTTCAAAAATATTCGTTCTGACAGAGTGTTTTCGGATTAACGGCGCCAAAGATAGAGCGGGTTCTTTGAATGGTCCTACCAGCATGTGATATGTATTTAGTAATGAAAAATCTATATTCAACTGAAAATATATTATTAACGTTAGTATAAATTTATGCCGAACCTATTTTCAGTCTGCATCAGTGACATGAATGGCAGGCAACTGACCCTTTGGCAGATTTAACTAATGGCATCATTGCTTGACATCGATGCATTATTGTAATGGACCATAGGCCTTTGAAATGCGTCAAGAGAGAACGGTAGCTAACCTCTCTCAAGGACAAGGAGAGCGGAAGGTCCGGGTATCGAATACCCGCCGCTTCATACCAAAAGACGTTAAAAGATGGTACGTCTGTCTGACGCTCGGCATTAATGGGTATAAAACAAGGACTGGTCGGCTCGGAGTCACTATACTGTGTCTGAGGGTTTTCATGTTGAACTGCGGCATGGTATCTCAGTTGGCCAGCACTATAAAATTGGCATAAGTCTGGACTAGTACAAGCAGCCACACACACACAAATACACACACACACACACACACGCACGCACGCACGCACGCACGCACGCACGCACGCACGCACGCACACACGCACACACACACGATATATGGGGACGATATATTGATCAGATCTCTGATCATATTGTGTGCAGCCCCGATGTCATATCTTGCTCCCAAACAGAGCTGCAAAAATGACAACGCCACAGATAACAATAAACAGATCACGAGTATGATGGGATTGGTACCCAAGTGTCACATTCAATTATGAGAAAGTCACGTTCAGTCTGATACAGGATGCACATCATGATACGTCAACTAAGTGCGTTGTCACAGGTGCCTTTAATGTGGTTTTCTCTATTGTTATCAGCTTACTCCCCTACAGGCAGGTGGGTCTTTTATAGATATATATATTTTTATTCGGTATTTAAGACCACGTGGCCCATTGTACAGTTGACATTTTCAGTTTCATTTGTTTAGTCACGTGATATACATGATATATAAAAACTATCTGACAGAGAATATATGTTTCAACAATATGGCTAATGAACGTATAACAGCAGAGTTGTCGGATTTTATAAGAATGATTAGTAACATCTTGTTTTTATGCCTCTTGTTAAACATCGGAATAAACTTTTTCTAAGTTGTTCATACTTATCACATACTAATAATACATGAAATTCATCCTCAATTTCTCCTTATTGGCAGTTTTTACAGATACCCATTTCAACGTCCCTTTTTTCACATCTACGTCTAAAATGTACGCTTAAATTGTGTAATGACACTCTGAATTTACATAATGACCTAACAAGCGATGTATCATCTGACATGCTTATTTACTTCTCTGGTTCTATAGCAGACTTGATATCCTTATACTGGCTAAAGAAACGAGAAGAGGATACTATCATGCCAGTTTTGACTATACATATCCTGTATACTTAAAGTTTGTTTAAAAGAGTATAAGAACAAATTTGTATCCCCTTCATCTTGGGATATCCACACAAATGAATAGCCACATGAAAATAATAAATATCTGACATTGGACGCCCAATTCGTTTTGCCTTTGTCATCGAGAGCTTTCAGTAGTTTATAACATTTGTAAGGATATCTTTTCGGCTCTATCCTCAGAAATTTTAAGCAATATTATGTCTTTCGAAGTTTACTTAATACATGAATGGGATAACGTCCTGTTTCACCTAAGATAGCTTTGTTGGAAGCATATGTTCCAACCACTGAAAAGCGCTTAAAGTAGGAAGCGTGTACTTTTTCACTAGCGTCATTATGTTTTGCGCCCCATATTTCTACTCTACAGAGCAAGATTGGTTCGATGTTGCCGTCAAATATAGTACAAGCTGGATACATATATAGTACAAGAAAAGGATACATGTATATTTTGCTTGAAAAAATTATAGATAGGTATAATTGCTTTTGATGCTTGCGATGCTAGTTGTTTGCACGCAACTGACCATGATAGTTTAGATGATAGCCTCAAGCCTAAATATTTATGATAAGTAACATTTTTAAGGCGATATTATTATGTCCATTTATCATTTTTTGCAATGATACCTCCATTTCTTAAAACAATTACATTTGTTTTTGACAAATTAACTTCCAATCCCCATCTGGGGGCACAGGTGGCCCAGTCGTCTAAGGCGCCGCAATTCGCTGTGCAGAGTTGCGTCCTTTGGGCACGCCAGAAACCTATGATTCTACAATCTCCATAGAAAAGTAGGTTTGTATGGGCTAAGCAGACTATCCAGAGACACCCTACAGTTTACATATATTGTTGAAACGAAGTGTTTGTTTTAAATTACGGAGGAACAAGTTTAAGAAAAAATGCATTGTTGCGTGATGGATGGGTTGGAGACTATGGGAAATTGTCAATATATACATTAACACCAAGTATGTAGGTATAAACAATCCTCGAGGTGTGTCCAGGATGCATCTATTCACTGCTGAAAGGTTTTAGCGCCAACACAGCTGCATAGAGCTGATGTCTGATAACAACAGGTTGTATGGTGCAATCTAGGATTGGGTGATGACCCCTTGGCTGGTGTACTTGTAATTATATCTACAACCCTCTCTGGTATCAGTGTCATTCAATTAGAACTGAGTACATGGGGTTTTAATTCGTGCAGCGAGTCATAATGGCCTGTGGTTATGGTACTCATGAAATGACAAATAAATATACCTCAAATCTAGTTATCTAAGGGCTCTCTCTCCCCACCCACCCTACCCCCCCCCCTGTCTCTCTCTCTCTCTCTCTCTCTCTCTCTCTCTCTTTCTCTCTCTCTCTCTCTCTCTCTCTCAGATGTAGGTTATCTGTAAAAGTGTGTTTAATGTTTTACTTTATGTACGTTATATATTGAATAGATCGCGATGAAACACATTAGCTAAACTTTGCTGTGGAACCTTGAGGGTCGTTATACACTTCGGAAAACTACTGTATGTGAACCTTCTTGCAAGTTATATTATAGTTAGGGTGAGGGGCATGTAATTGTGATTTTTACCAACTGTGGCAGAAAGCAACTTCAATGATCCTATGTTTATTACATGTCTTCGGTGGAACAAACTACTTACTAAATCCAGAGTGATGAATTAGTTAAACCTCTTGCTGCATTGATCTTCTCCATGTTCCAGAGAAGAAAATATTCTGTAAAATAAACTATTATTTGCAAAAAGTATCAAATAGTATATGAGTAATATTTCCTGTTAGGTTCACGTACATTATATGAATAAAAGTGTGCATGGTTGTAGCATGGATATGTTGTTTTGCTGTGTTGTGTATTTGTGGTATATGGTTTTGATGTATGGATTTGGTGCATGTTGTTTTTAAGCTTGTGTTATTTGAATGTGTAGTATACATGTTGTATGGGTCTGTCATTCACGCAATCATGACAAAATATACATTTGCATTGTACATGTATATAATAGTGCAAATATTTCGTAATTTTGACATTTGAAAGGGGTGGATGGCAAATCTGACAGCATGAACGTGTACTTCTCCAGATAGGGTCAGCCCCTCCATTTCTCCAATTTGAATCCCCACCGTTCGAGAATGCTTCCACCCAAATATTGTTGATATCAATCTCTAGGTTCCAGAGAAGAATTTGTTTAAAGCAATATAGCAAAATTACCCCTATTTGGCGCCGGCCCTCAGTCCCTGGGGGGGTCAACCCCACCATTTGTACAATTCTGAATCCCCACCACCTAGGGATGCTTCCAGTCAAATTTCGTTAATTTCCAATTTGTGAATCAGAAGAAGGCCTTTGACAAAATTGTTGACGTCTGGACGACGGACGCCACAGTATGGCGGACCAGTGGAGCTAATAA